GCCGACGATGTATGACAGAGGAGAGTGAGTACATACGAGATTTCATGAAACTTGCCCCGCCAACTTTTGGAGGAAAAGGGACGGATCCTGAGGCAGCTGAATGGTGGTTGGAATGTATTGAAACAAATTTTGCATTCTACAACTGCCCAGAGAGTCATAAAGTGTTGTGTGCTACATATTTGTTGGAGGGACCAGCCAATTTTTGGTGGAAGTCAAAGAAGCCGAAGATGATGGCTGGTGGGGCCCCAATCACATGGGCGGCCTTCAGACACGAGTTTTGTGAGAAATATTATCCTGCTCTAGCGAGATTGCGAAACCGAAAAGCATTTATGCAATTGGGAGTTTTGTGAGAAATATTATCCTGCTCTAGCGAGATTGCGAAACCGAAAAGCATTTATGCAATTGGAACAGGGTAATAAAATATTATCCTGCTCTAGCGAGATTGCGAAACCGAAAAGCATTTATGCAATTGGAACAGGGTAATAGGTCAGTAGAGGAGTATGAGGTGGAATTCACACTATTATCCAGATTTGTTCCTCTTATGGATGCTACTGAGGAAGAGAAGACGGATCTCTTTATTCAGGGTTTGAGGCAAGAGATACAGGGATCCGTGTCTGCCCATGCTTCTCAAGATTTTGTTACGGCTTATAATGCTGCGGTGAAGTTAGATGCTAGCACCCCGAGGAATAATCAGGGTTCTAGCAGTCAGGTACGACCAAGTGGTAAATGAAAATTTATTCAAATATCCACGGGTTCGCAACAGCAGACGGTACCACAACGAGTTGATCGCCGGCCTTATTCAGGTGAAGGGAGGGCAGGTTGTAGTAAGTGTGGGTTAACTCATGCGGGATCTTGTAATGCTGCAGACAAGATATGTTATAACTGTGGCAAGACTGGTCATCTCGCCAGAGTATGTCGTAGTGCAAAGAACCCTAATATGATGCGCCCCGAGCGATCTGCTCCAGGTGGAGGAGGGGGTCAGTTGAGTGCCGGGGGACATCCTCAGGCTCGAGGAAAAGCCTTTGCCACGACAAGCAAGGCAGCGGGGGATGCCAGCACGGTGGTGACAGGTACTTTACCCATATCTGGCTATTTTGCTTATACTATATTCGATTCTGGCTCGACGCATTCTTTTA